TCAATTTCTTCTTCTTCATTAAATGGAAATGTGCCACTTAACCTTTGAAAATAAACTAAATGTTTTAGAAGACAAGCAGAAGTGAAGCCATGATAACGTACGAGACATAGATAATAACGCCACACGACCACATATCTAATGATCTATTGTAACCTTTTTCTAATCTTAACTCTGGTTTGAGTGCCTCCGGAGCTGAAACAATAGGCATCGAATTAGAAAATAATTACGCAATCTACATTTGCATATAGTTGACAGTTGGCTGTGTGCTGGATAAAGAAGTATGTCGAAGGTAAGCTGAATAGAACTTGCATGAAATCCTAACTCCTTACGAAGGTATGCCGGAGTTCCAACTATTGAACGTCTGAAGGATTTTTCACCAATAATCCGAGCAAATCCAAAATCGCACAATTTTGTCTACGAAGAAGAAAGATATATAAACTAGAAACCATTTGGTCCGCTCTATTTTTGATACTTACTTGAGGAAAATCTTCACACTTAGCTAACAAAACATTTTCTGGTTTCAGATCACAATGAACAATTGATTTACTATGTAAATAGCGTAATGCAACTAGAATCTGAGAGCAACATAAAATAAGTCAAGTGGTCAAGTTTTAACCTCAATAATAGATATACCTGATAAATTAAAAATTTCGTTTGTCGCTCATTTAATCGTTTGGCTGGTCGTGTTAAAATCATTTCTAACATATCTGAATGAAGTTTTTCCATAACGAGATAAAACTAGAGTAGAAAACGACATGTAGTTCATTTTTCATTCAGTTGATTTTAAAACAGTGAAATTTCTTACCTTTCCGGGTGTATCAAACATGGCATGTAATTTAATAACTCCAGGATGTACTACTTCATGTAATATATCAACTTCGCGATGAATTTTTTCTTCTTGTTCAGAAAAGCGTAATTTATCAATAACTTTAATCGCCACGACATCATTTGTCTGAATGCTATGGCCTATTAAATAACAGACTCCAATAACGCCATGCATGCAAAACGATGGTCCCTGCCCTAGTCAATTTTTGCTTCTGTGAATCCCTGAACAAACATAAAATCCCTAGGAAGTTCTCAGGGATTCCCTGATTTTCAGCGAGTGGAGAGAAATAACGAAGTCCTTGGTGATTCTCTGATAACTCTCTAGTGCTTTCTTAGGGAGAATGTACAACATATTCACCGTTTTGTTTGGCGTCTGCGGAAGTAAGATGCCGGCAATCCAAAATTTCAGCAAAATTTATTTTTCATTTTTTTTTGACATCGTTGGATAAAGTTCATCAAACAGGTAAGAAAATATCTTTTTCGAACGTTTTTGACATGACTTTGCCGGTTAAAAGAATCGAATTACTAATTCAGGTACGATTTGCTGAAAATTGATACTTTTTTAAGAATTATTCGACTTTTCCACTAGATATTTAGTTATATTTCGGAAATTATTTTTTCTGATTCTTCATCAAAACATGAGTCTAAGACACTACATGTCAAAATTTTCA